TATTACTAATACCGGCATAACTCTAAACAACTAGCAAATGACCTCTAAATACTTGCCCACTCTGTGCATTTATGCCAACTCAATAAATATATGACACAAGTCTTCACAAATATGGTTATCACTAAATCATAGTTTTAATAAACACAAATTAATTAACTGTAAAATATGAAAGAAAATGTGATACACAACCTTGCTACGACAAATGAATACCTAAGTAAAACATACACTTCAAACAACTCTACAATATGAACTATTTGCAGGATTTATACAGCAAGTTCAGTTCCTATTTCTTTTTTCTTCACAAAAGTTAACGCTGAGAGATAATTGACATGCTAATTAAAGAGGAAGTTGAAACCAAAGAACACCTTTATAGCTGTAGGAGTCATATGTAAGTCATCAAAATAACTCATTTTGCTCTAAGCCATGTTTCTCTCACGCATGAACTGCTCTATCTTCTCGACATCTCCCGGGGTGTCAACACCGTGAGCCTCGTGGTCAACTTTTATCACCTGTAGAAAGAAAAGAGATCCATGTAGTTATTCAACAATCATGAGAAATATATTTCCTCAATAATTTATTTTACAACTGTGTTGTCTGGGCCAAAGTACAATCACGAGAGGGAAAGCAAACCAACTAGCTCGAATAGAACAAATCAACAGATAAAGGCTGTAATGTTTGCAGCATATTCGAAATTCTTGTTAACCTTTCCAACAATTTTTCTTCTTCTTTTCTGTTTGGTTAACTATAGTTCATCTAGGAATATATTTCCCCAGTCATTTTTCAAATAACCATGGTGCCCAGCTTGATAGATGGAAAGAAATCACCTAATGTTTTTGCCTTAACCCCGCTGGAATTTGAACCCGAGACCATATGGTTCTCAATTTAGTCATTAAAACACCGATATTCAGCATAGAAATCTACAAATTGAGGGTATGTTACCTTCATTTTGTATCCATTTTCAAGGACTTTTAGCTGCTCAAGATCTTCTTCTAGTTGCAATGGTGTTGGTGTCAGCTCTGGATATATTTTCAGGAACTTCGTATCATAACTCTAGAATGAAATAAGAAGACACCGTATCATTCAGCCATATAAAGTTATTGAGAAAAACTAGTTGATAGTTGCACCAAAATTATACTAGTTGATACCTGGATCCCGAGGTGCAGCAAGTAAGGAAACTGAGGATTAACCTTGCCTGACCTGAATGTTTGCAGAATTGATCAGTTTCTACAATGGAGAACATAACCAGCTACTGCAACAAGCTATTTAAGAGAAAATGGACTAACTTGTTATAAGGGATGAGCCCTCGTGAAAAATATATTGCATAACCACGATTGTCAACCACACATTTAACGCGATTTGGATCAAATGCATCCTCAGGTTTCAAAGATGTCACAGCAGTGCTAAAGACCGCATCTGGTGCAGCCTGCAAGAATCATAAGTAATGTTATTAGTCATTTAAAGCTCAATCAACAAGTGACTACATGCAGTCTCCAATGAAACTAACTCCAACGTATAACAACAATTCTTTTCATATTTTTAAAAAAAAGACAGAAAGGAAAACTACCTGTAGGGCTTTGACGATGCCATCTATTATTTCAGGTTCAATAAGAGGTTCATCTCCTTGTATATTAACAACAATATCATACTTCTTATCAAGCTTTTGAAGAGCTTCATTACAACGCTCGGTTCCTACAAATTAACAGCTAAGCATCAGCTATTCACAAACTCAAATTTCCAGAAGTTGCAAAAAGATGGATTGAGAAAATAAACAGCATTGTGTTTACCATTTCTACATGATTCAGAAGTCATTATCACTTCAGCGCCAAAACCACGACAGCACTCAGCTATCTTTTCATCATCTGTTGCCACAACTGTCAAAAAGCCAACCAAATAAGCGCCTGCCACCTTCTTCTTCTTTTTTTTTTTGGGGGGGGGGGGGGATAGTCGACGTGGGAGCATAATGTACGCCTATAGAAGAGGTTCAGCCAAGTCAAATAGATACATACCAACTTGATCCAATGTCTCAGCAAGCTTTGCCCTTTCCCATGTTCTCTGCCATCAAGATTGAATATGGTGAGGGTGTCAGATTCTTTTAGCAAATAAAATTATGACATTACATTGTTTCTTGATCAAAGCTTCACCAATGGTAAATGGTAAAAGAGAGAAATAGCAGGAATATGGCATACGAATTTCCAAAAGTTAGAACCCTCGGAGCAATTTGAAGTTGGTCCGGAAGTTTTGGGATCCTGATATTGCCAGAAGGGATAGCACCACACATGAGAAATAAATGAATCTATAATTTTATACCTGGCGATAATAGATCCCTTATTTTAAGGTTTCAAAGCAAATATATAACTACTCAGGACCAACATCATTCCCGAGTATTCATGTGAAAAGAGATGTTTCTGTTGTAACATGACTTTGAACTTATACTTCATTTGGCATTATTAGTTTGCTCATTATTCTTTTCTTAAATTACTGATTCATTTTATCCGTTGGTACATTGATAGTGGATTAAGTGGTAAACTTATATTAGGCCAGTGCCGCGATACTTAAGTAATGGTACCCTGTTGACTATGACTGAACATCCCGCTCCCCATATAATGAAGGGAAAAGCCCATTTCTAGAGCTATACCACCGTAGATCGTTACTATTCACGAGAACTACTAAGATTCTTGGATCTCTACCAAAGACCAGGGCTTGTATGAGAACTAAGAATATTATCAGAAACTTTTATGAAGCGATTTGTCAACTTGACCACTGTTGAAGCTAAAACCATAAAATCATAATAAATTTGTCAATGTTCCTTTTCGTTTTATAACCCAGAAATCCTCAAGGGTCAGTTGAGCACGATTCAAAACTCAGCCTTAATGGAACAAGTTCACATTGTTTTTACGAGCCTCAATTTATTCTTCATTCCACCACTCTATTGAAGTCCATGAACTAGAACTATGCATTGCTCTATCATCACTTTTTTCAAATAATTCTGCTTGCTGAGCTAGCATTTAGACTTCCAGTCAGTCGATTGGAAACTACCATGCACCATACAATTATAGGAAAGAAAAAAAAAGGAAGACTCATTTTATTTACCGTTATAATTACACTGTCAAAGAGGTTATGATGCCCGACATGAATCCGTTGGGAAAACGATAGGTTACCCCAGGTTAGGGGCATAACTACAGTATTAAATACAGGTTTGGAGGTACCTGCTTTTGCTTAGACGCTGTATTTATACAAGGAAATCTACTAAATACGTGAATATTTAATTACGAACCCAATAAAAAACAAGCTATGAGTTCGGTTGCAAGTTCAAATCCTAACTCCACCTCTGCCCAAGGTGGATCTAATCATCTAGAATTTTGAGTCTTAAGTTCAACATACTTCTACTTCCACCCATCAAGATAGAAAATACTACAACATTTTCAGACTCAATACAAATATAAACATTTAAAACTTCTTCTTAACGATAGAATTGAAGGTCATGAAGCTGTAGAAGTAAGTACCTGGATCATGGGCTCTCCAAGGATATTTAATCATGAACCCATTAATTAAAGTGACAATTTCATAACCCAATAACAACAACACACCCCGTCAGTATAATCACGCAAGTGAGGTCTGGGTTTGGGGAGGGTGGTGTGTATACCGTCTCACACCTACCTTGAACATACAGAAAAAGTGACTATTTCTGATAGACTCTCGACTCAAGTAAAGCATATTGAAACTCAAGTATGTAAAGTAAACACAATTTCAGAACCTATAAACTTCAAATCCGGACTCTGCTTCTACCCAAGGTGGATCTAATCATCTAGAATTTTAAGAATCACTAAGTTCAACATACTTCTACTTCCACTCACTGAACGAGAAAATACTACAACTACATTTCACACTCAACAACAACAACATATTAAAATCCAACAAGTGGAGTTTCGACGAAGAGGTTAGAGTATACAGCAATATAAACATTTCAAAATTCTTCTCAACTATACATAATTCATACCTGGATCATAGGCTTGCCGAGGATCTGAACGAGCGGTTTCCCTTGAAACCGAGTAGAAGCAAAACGGGCGGGTATGATACCTATGACCCGGCTCCGAAACTTGCCGGATCGGCCAAGGTAAGCGTGAGCGCCGAGAGCTACGGCTACTGCTGCTCCGACGGCTAAGCCGTGAAGGATCCATGATTTTGTGGAGCTAAAGGAAGAAGATGAAGAAGAGCTACAGATCGGCATTTGTGCTCTTTTGTCGGTGTTTTTTCGGTTGTGAGTAACATGCAAATTTTCAATTTATACTACAATTTTACAAAATTATTCGGTGTGTGCTACCTAGATAGTTCATGTGACATACTTTAAAATTAAAAAAATGCATTTTTAATTATAAAATATTTAATTTACACTTTCTATGTTACTCTTATATTGAGAAGAAATTTCGAGAGTCAATAGTAAATTTTTGAACATTTAATCTTCAATTTTTTAAAAATAAAATCTATATATTTAAAAATATTCCCTCCTCCAAAAATTTGAGGCTACAAGTCTCAAAAGTTTTATCCTTGCTCAAATGTTATGTTTTTATAAAAAAAACATTTTTTCCTTTGATTCCATATTGATTAACTTTGTCATATAAATTTGAAACATATGAAATAATATATTTGTTATCATCATAATTCAGGGGTAATACGTGGTTTAGTGTTCAGGATTTATTCGATGCCAATAATTTTGTCATGAACCTTGTAGATGTGATAGGGTAATAAGTACTAATTTGTCTTTAATCAGAGATCTCGTGTTCACCCAAACAACAAAATTGCCTTCATTAAAAAAAAAAATTACCCCAATGTGAAACTTTTCAAGGCAAATCTGGATTTAGAACCCACTGCGAGTACTAGACACCAAGCGGAAACCAACAAAAACATCTGCATTATGTCAAATTGTGCTTTCGAAAATGGTATTAACTGGCCAAGCAGAAGGATCAAATGGCATATTTGGATTATGTCTCTTATCTTCACACAAAAGAATAGTCTTACAACAGTTTTTTCCTTTCGAATTACAGCAGCAGTTGCACTCTTGTCAAAATTGGCATTTTACAACACTGAAGATGAAATTCCAATGCAATTTCACCTGATACGGAAGCTGACACGTCGACATTGTAGCTACCACTAGCTAAAGAACTTCCCATATAAATACTGTCAATTCAGTCTACTAGAGAAACAGGTATCTCGGAAACTCAATGGAGTTGCAGTGTATAAATGCTGCATCTCCATTGATAAGTCAGTATAATAGGTTAAATATCAGGTAGAGGCATCCAAGTAGGGTGAATTCTTACCACTATATATATTGATGTTGTTTTTTATCACCATCTATTATGTTTCCAATGCTTCTTCGAACTCTTCTCTTTCCTCGATGAATTTTCTTCATCTCTGACACTACTGCTATGCCCGTTTTCCTTCACCTTCTTAGCAGGCTGTTTATCCTTTGACGACTTCCTCTTCTTTCCTGAGGATTGAGCATCACCGTCCTCTGCAATCCCATTTCCTTGGGGGAGTGCTTCTTCGTCATCATTTAATTGCCAGTTACAGTAGATCTCCTGCTGATCACCATACTGCAGCAGTCCCTCCCCAGCGCCTGGGAGCAAGTTATTAAAAGTCACTTCCCCATTAGATCCTCCTTTCCTTTCCACTAGTACTTCATCTGGTCTAATTATTGTGCCAAGAATACTCCTGTTGGAACCAAGGGCAAATATGGCTTTTGCATTTGTCAATGTTGTGAAAGCCATTGAAAAAGCAGATCTGACCTGTACCAACACAAACAAGAATCTCAGAATGTAGCTCCAGAGGGAGCAAGAAGCAAAAGGAACAATTGCATGTACACAAATTACAACCAAAATAATGGAGAGCTTGAGTATTTCTGATTGGGCCGAGTAGGTATAAAACTACTCTATGATCTCCAATTTTCATAAACAAGAACTGAGCAAATATCAGAAAGGATCACATCTCTTTTCCTTCTTGTTTTGTTATGCTTTACTTGAGCCGAGGGTCCATTGAAACAAACTCTCTACCCTCATAAGGTAGGGTAAGGCTGCGTACACACCACCCTCCCAAGACTCCACTATGGGATTTCACTGGGTATGTTGTTGTTATTGAGAAATCCCCAGGGGGCATGTGGCGCACAGTTAGAAACTAGTAGGTAATGGGTCTGCCCCTGCACCAACCTTCTCCACTAAAATATCAGGCTTTTGTCAGCAGCAACATTCGAACTTCGAACCTGTGACGTGCATCTAACCCAAACATCACGAGCTGCGCTCCTACAACTAGACCAAAGCCCGAGGGGATACAGGCACATACATCAAACTTACATGATAACACATGCTCCTGTTAAATACCCAATGTGCATGACAAGGGAAACATGCAAAATTCACAATCACCGAAACTCACAAATATTGCTTGACAAACAAGCTTCTTAGATCGCCAAAAAAAAAGAAGCAGCAGCAAATCTTATTGATGTGGTGCAATGCCTCTAGTAAGATCTTGATAAAAAGATGAGCAGAATCTGAAATCATGTAGAATTCACCTGAAAATAATTGAAGGAGCTCTTGCCTATGTCATTTTCTGGTGTCTGCCATCACAAGAAAGAAACCTAGTTTAGTAATTTGTTAATAATGTTAAGAACCTTCAAAAGAAAAAGGTACTCGGTTACTAGATTCCAAATATAAGGTTAACACAACAAATAAGTACACAAAAAAAAGTAAGGGACATAATCCTTCTATTCATTGGTCCACTAGAAAATAAGACAAACCGAAATAACTGACACCATAGTCAAGCTTAAAAAGCATAAAACTAAATAGAATATCTATAACTAATACAAATATAAATAGGAAAAGATAGAATGGACGAACAGAGTTCTCTGTGATATTCAAAAAGACCCTAGGGAAATGTGAATAGCAAAGATATAAGAGGTAACCTGTGGATCCTCAATGGAGATAAGAGATTGCTTTCCTTTAATTGAGAACCTGAAAACAAAAAGAAGGAAACAAAATAAATTACCTAACAGATATAAAACTTCTTTAAAGTAAAACACTTATATAACTTAAAATATATCAAAATTTCATACCCTTTCCTACTCTTCAGGAAGAAGGTACCTTCTCCATTACAAGATACACCAACATCTGATGTATTTAGTTTGCGTCCATAAATATCAAAGAAATTAACCTATATCACAACATATGAGCAAATATGAGCAACTTGCCCTGAAAAATACAAACCTGTAGGGTAATTTTGCAATAGAAATCCCCAATGAGATGAAATTACATAAAAGAAGGGAAAGAAGAAGGAAAAAGCAAACAGAGATAACAGGCCAGGAGGAACAGAAAAAGGTAGTCACTCAGCTTTAGAGTTATAATCAAAGATTAAAAAGGAAAGAAGTGAGCACGGGACACAAGCAAAACGAAATGCACAACCTGCTGTGCATTCCACAAAAGCTAAAACTTCCTCTTTCTCTTGATTGCTTCTGAAAAGCGGAAACTTCCTTTAGAAACCTTGAAGTGCAAGAACTGAATATCTTAGACTGATAACAGTTAGAGTTGTACAGTCTTTCTCCTATAAATATAAGTGTTATGGCTTCGGTTTAATCGACAACTTATAGTTTCCGACTCTGTAGCTGCCTTCCTCGCTTCGTCTTCGGCATTCAGAGTTGTGAACTAACCTCTTCCTTTTACAGCCAGACAACTGGCGGATAAGCTGGGCATCTAAAGAACATAAGATCTGAGTTGCCACCAGGCATAAAAGTCATATTGTCACTTATGCCTATTGTCTTTGATCTTTTTTCGAAGGCCTCAAGGAATGTGCTTGAACAACCTCTTAAGTACTTATTTCTTAGTTCTCCCAGAAAAATTAAGATTTAAAGATGAGTTAAAGTAAATTTTTTGTCCCTCGCACTTGCCTGAATTAGTTGGTACTTGGTAGTAGGGTCAAAATAATCTTCTTCCCAAAGACAATAATTGCAGCAACAATTGGAAGAGATCAAAAGAAATTAACAGCAAGCAAAGAGACACTTCTAATAAAGCATAAAACAGATTAAGGTTTTTTTTTTTTTTTTTTTTTTTTTTTTTTTTGTGTGTGTGTGAGTGTGAGTGAGATGAGAATCATGGTCAATAAGGAAGTTGTTACAGTCGTGAGTTATCACATTGGAACTTTGAAAGAGATTTATGTATCAGCAAGGAACATATAAAGCTAACATACTCAACATGGTTTAGAAGTTCAGCATATTCCTACTTCTCATACAGGTGCAATGGTTTTCTATTAAGTTAGTCACTAGAAAACTTTGCCTTAGGCTTTCATCTTCTCCAAGAAAGACCTATACAGATTTTTCTCTTTTGCCCCTCTAAGAAACTAAAGTTTGATTTTTTTTACCTCATTCTCCCACCTGCAGCTTGACCATTCTCTTCAAAGCAAGAACATTGTTCGGTCATTGTAGGTAGAGCATTGATTTTTTTGAAAACTTTCAAGAGATGCAAGTTCGAAGGAGACATACCAAAAGAATTCCCAAATTCTCCTCCGCAGAAGCCTGGCCATTTCGATGATTCTGCAAAATGAATGACATAGCATAGACCGAATAATCAAAACAAGGTAAAACACAAAAGGTGCATTGGTAGCAACTAGTTTTACATGACAATTAGCACATCATAACAATAACCCCACGGGTTAAGTTGATTTTGAAGTATCAAAGAGTGTTGCTCAAAAGACTCGACCTTTCCTCCTTTTTACAGTAGTTAATACAGAAGTGATGAACAGTAGAAATTTGGTCAAACCAAAAACAGAAGCCTAGACAATATGGTGGGCAATATGGAAAGAGAGGAACTCTAGGTGTTTTGAGAGCATAGAAAATAGTGTGCAGAAAGTGAAGCTCAACTGCATTTTGCTATTATGTTTTTGGTGTAATCAGTTATACTCAAATGATACTGTCTCTATAATTGATGTTTTAGACTCAATTTAGCCATAGAGCAGTAAGAATTTGGGGCTTTTGTATATAATGTTTCAGTACAACCCATGTACTGTTTTGTGATATAATACAACCTTACCAAGTTAAAAAAAAAAAAAACAGAAGCCTAGACAATCTTTTCCAGATGGATGAAGTATCAAAGACAAAGGAAATAGCAATTAGAACAGACATCCATAGTACCTCAAATCTCCATTCCTTCCCCATCTCAACTTATGTTCTCTATCAGATATAATTAAGTTTTTCAAACCTTAATCGACAAACTGACAAAAGAGGCCAATGCTATTTGATCATATTAAAGATAACATGCTTGAGTTGTCTCATCTCAAAAACTTGTTTTAATCCATACTCCTTCAATCCCAGATAGAACTTCCACCTTTCTTTTATGTGAAAAAAGAGCAGCAGTACTATCATGCCATGTGTATTTGGCAAGTGAAAGGCTAGCACCAGTGAAACATAAAGTGTAACAGAAACAAGAGGGTCCTTTTCTAAGTGAGACATAAAGTGCAACAGTAACAAGAGGGTCCTTTTCTAAGTGAGAATAATTAGAACTGCCATAAAACTAATATTTCACTTAGTTACACTACTATTTCACTCGATTAACTAATTGTGAGACATTAAGTCTTATTTTTAAACACAAATACATGACCAGTTATAATTTACCAGTCACACTATTAGAACATATGATTGAGTTGACTCACCTGCAACATTGCTATGAGCATTACAAGCAATGCATAGGATCCAATCCCACCAGTATAAACCTGCAACATAAGAAGACAATAAGTCAAAGCAGAAAAGATTGAAACCTTAAACCAGCAAGCACCATTAACATGTTTCTACATATGTCTTTGCTGAGACTTAGCAACTTGGATTATTCTGTTTTTAACACATGTCTCTGCAGACAGTTAGCAACTTGGATATATCAGAAGACATTAGGAATGCTTTACCTCATTTAACTCTCTCTGTTGCAAGAACACTTTCAAAATCAAGCATAATGGTCGAAGAGGAGGCCAGCTAGACATAGCATCCTATATAAGTTTGCAAAAACAATAACATCAGCCACAGTTAATTTCTACATCATTGGATTTTCACTGTTCAGCGAGTGGAAACGTCAGCACAAACCTTAATAAATTCAGCAGCTTTGGGTCCATTTTCCACATCAAAGCTGTGGACACAGAACAGAAAATTAGAGGTATAAAGTTGACTATATCAGACTTAGTCATTTGGATTCAAAAGGATGGCAGTCTTGTTTGCATAGTAAGTACTTGGCTGAACTTCAGAGGAAGATGATATAAAACAATAAGGTATATCAAGGCGATTTCAAGTTACCAAGAGTGAAATGAGTCATCATAGGTTTTTTCTCTAACTTCCAGGAAGTGCAGAAGGAGAGAAATTGGTCAACTCCTCATTTCATTTTGTTGGCTTGTTAAGACAAGGACTAAATTCTAAACTAATATGGACAAATTAACAATCAAATGCACCAGGTGAGAAACTCAAACCAAAAAAAAGGGAACACAAGAAAAGGATTAGGTCAAAACACAAAAAATGAAGTACATCATAAAATCAGTGGAATTATTTGAATTGGATAATGAACTGAAACCAGAAACCAAGTATGGAGAAGCTGAAAGAAAAACATAAACTCTCCTTATGCACAGTTGCACACTATCCACTGATCAACAAGTAGGGGCAAGACAATTCGCAGCAAGAGACTAAATGGAATAAGTTCTAGCAAATGCAATACATAGCCTTTTTAGCTATGATTTAGGGATAAAGACTAGACAAATAAACATCAGCAATATGGAACTATCCTCTACAAACTCATAATATTGCCAGAATCCCATAGGCATAATAAAACCTTATATTGGCCGCTAAGAAGAATCGAACCTTATGTCAAATGAAATGCCACTTTTCTTCTCCACAAATTTTATTATTGGCACACGAGCCTTTGAAATCACCTGATTCAGAGAAGTACATGAAAATTCCAGATTATAAGTTCTCTTTGCAGAAACCTATCATGGGTGTTAGGGGGGAGAAAACAAAAGAAAATGTTCCTCATAGAGAGATCACAGGGCCACGTGATGCACCTGTATCTTCTTCGCAACTCCTTTCTGTGAGAGAGCTCTGGAAAGAGCTTGTAACCCAATTTGAGGACTTCTAATTTCTGACCCTAAAATCACCAGCTGTATTTCAAAGAGTAGCTCATTACTTTTATTGTAACTTGAATCATTTTTGCTTCTACACCACAATCAACCAACAAATAATATATGCCTGTGAAAAGCTCTGCATTGCAGACAAAGAAAGTCTACAATCTTAAACACATTTACAACATAGTAACCACCACAATAAAGTATCATGCTCCAGAAGTATTTTGTCAATAAGAAACTGTGTTTTCTTTTTTTCAAAAACGCATGCTCTTTTGTTGGGTACGACAACATTTGCAGGTCCAACATCATAGAACAAGTGATCAAGTACAGGATGTCCAGGTTAGCATGATGCTTTTTGTAGCATGTTACGGAGGATCTGTAAACCTAAGTACCTAACTACATCAGTATTGAGGGGTAGGCGTTGTTGTTTGTTGATAAATAAGGTATTGAATGACAGTGTTATTATTATTAATAATTATTAAAGCAAGGATTTCAATTTAGCTCAACTTTTGAGCAGAAGTTGCAGCACTTTATTGAGAAACTTTAAGGAAAATATATTGTTACCGAGAAAGAAAATCCAAAATTAACTTGAAAAAAAAAAGAGTAATCTTACATCAACATCACTAGTGGGAAGATAAAGCCCTGTCTTGAATGATCCGAAAACCTCTGGCTGGAAAAAAAAATTAAAAAGAACTTTAACACAGTGAAGCCATTAGCTTTGTACATCACAAGCATAATGTGCTATATAAGGACGGAATGGAATGGAAATGGGAATGGCAAGTGTGAGCACAGACCTTGCAGTTGGGCCAGATATATTTAATAACATTAAAAACACATTCTATTGCTTCATTACGAGATGCTTGCTCCTCCAGTGTAGGTGATAAAAACTCACAAAAATCTATTATCTCTGCAAATATCACACACAGCAAATTTAAGCAAATTCAGCTGCAAAGCTGTTAGGTAAAAAATATGAACTTTCTATATAAGTAAGTAAATTTAAATATGCACACACAATAACACATGCATATGTCTGTGTTTATACTGTAAATGCATATATACATAATCCAGAAGCTGATTCAAAATTTAAAGTTTGTGAGTTCCTACATCGATTTCAAGTTAATATACAATAATAACTAGGTTCACTATAAAATATTTACTGAATAGTTTAATAGATATATAAAAATTTGAGCAAAAGCTGATGGATCCGCCTGAGCAAGTTTAGAGCAAATTTAGCTTCTAAGAAGAAGAATATCATACATCATCACCAGAAGAACAACGAAAACCAACACAACGTAGCTTTACCTTGGTGAAGCTGGAGCATGGGACTCTTAAACCGACAATTAGCACGAAACCAATTGCCTTCAAGTCCTCTCTCTACTTCCTTATCCGGCAAAGGAGTAGCAGATGGTACCGGCGTCGAAACAGAGCTGGTATTCAGGTCGGCGGCGTCTCCATCGAGGTCGAGTGAAAAGTAATCAGGCGCGGCAGTTTCCGGTGAGGGACACTGGATAGTTGATAGTGAAATCTGGTTCCGGAATACAACGTAGGGTTCATGTTCGTCGGAGGACGACAACGACGGAGGTAAGTCGTCGTCGGCGGTGGTGGTGGTGCCGGCGGCGGAGAGTGGGTGGAGAGTTTCGTACAAAATGCCATCAACTTCCATTGGTACTGAAATCCGCACAATGTGTCTCACAACATTACGGTCGTGGAATTAACTTGGACTGATTTAGGGCTTTACTATTGTTTTCTTTTCTATTTTTCCTTTTATTAATTCGAATTCACGTTGGATAAAGTATAATAAAAATATTATCGAAGCAAATTTAGGCAAGTTGGGAATTATCTTGAATTGCTTTGTGATAAAACTAACTCATAAAAATATAATTTGTCCAATTTTTTCAATGACTAGAAAACCTAAACCTAGTTTAGCACTTTGTTTTTAGGCGAGTTAGTAAAAATTGATAGGATGAACTATAACACATTGTTTTAGCAAGTTATTAAAAAAATTGACGTGATGAACTATAACACATTATTCTAGCGAGTTAGTCACAGAATTGACGCGATGAACTATAACACATTGTTTTAGCGAGTTAGTCACATAATTGACGAGATGAACTATAACATATTGTTTTAGCGAGTTAGTAACGAAACTAACGGGATGAACTATAACACATTGTTTTAGTTCATCTCAATAACACTCGACCTTGATTAATAATCAGTCTATTTAATAACTCAGTTAATTTTAACTCGTTTAGGAGTTTGACACCTCTAGCATTGGGCGGAAGGGAGCTTTCCCCCTTAAATAAGTCTAACGTAGTGCAAATCTGAATTAATCGAATCAGTTAATTTCACATACTAGATCATTATGCAAAGAGAAAGAGAGAAGAATAATAAAAGCCTATATAAATTGTAGTAGATGTATCTATACATATGATAAACCAGATGAAGAAGTCATTCATCATTCTCTAATGAGCTCTACTTTTGCTCTTTATGAACTCATAAAAACAGTTGAGGAAACTCTGAACAAAAGCTAGAAAGAGCACTAATAATATGAAGCTAATAATGTACTAGTATATTTTACCCAATTAAAGTTGAACTAGTTGGGCAAAAATTAGTCTCAATTCACCTATTGTCAAAATCCAATGTCAGCATGGTCTCAACTGAAGAAATAATTCGCAGTGTTTGCAGGAACAACAGGTGCTACTCCAGTCCCTCTCTGTGTCAAGTGAAGAAATTTGTCGCAATCCTTTACTCCAATCTCCTTAAATGTATCTATAACTGTCTTGATGAATCCGGCCAAAGAAGCCTTGAAAGTTGGTGAGCAGCTTTTGTCGCCCTCATCAACATCCTGAACACCACCCCGGACAAGGCTACCTACTTGAGCACCATCTGTGTATGCTTTACATGCCACAAGAATATCTTGAGCACTTCGAAAGAAATGCCCTAATACAAAATCTTCAAAATACTGCAGCAAGAAGCGCATTTGGAATTAGTAGTTGATTTAGAACCACAAGTGTGAATGAAGTCAAGAAATAGTCATGAAGCATAACAATAGAACCTATTTTGGTAATAAATGGTTAAGAACCACTGAAGATGATCACAGCAGGCAAAGAATAAAAGAAAATAAGGATACCTTTGGTGGACGCCTCATGGAGAAGACCATCGTTTTCAGATTTAAAATGTAAGTGTTCTCATTGTACTGCAGTGAGCTTGCATCCCCTCTGGTTGTCCCGCCTGTGTTTGCATAACCAGGCTCATTGAAATAGGGTTTTGCATTTAAAATTAGCCCCTGTATGGACACCAAGACTTGTAACATAGTAGATGCACGAGGGATCCATTTCTCCTTCCCTTGGCCAGTCCAAGTGTTAAGTAGACTCAGGCAGACTTTTCCACAGTTATACAAATTAGGATTGATTCGAAGGCCAAAGGAATGGTAGTGCACAAGCTGGAAACAATAGGTAGGGAGGTGTTAGGCAAAAGGTCGAAAGGATAAAGCAGTACAGGCCTCAGAGACAAAGCGAGATACATACTGGGGGGACACTGGGATAGTTGCTTGGAAAGAAAACATCAAAGAAGTAAAGGCCATCATGATATGGAGTTCCATCAGCACCCATGATAACTGCTCTTAACAGATCCATTCTTGATTCGTACACCCTGACAAATATTGTATCTGCTCAATAAAAGACAATAAGATGAGTGCATGATTAAGAAAATTGCAAAAAACATGTGTTATAACTAATGGAAGGCTGCACCCAAGGGTGTGGCCAAGTGGTCAATGAAGCGGGATGACAACCATGAGGTCTCAGGTTCAAATCCCCGCGGAGACAAAAAAAACACTAGGTGATTTCTTCCCATCTATCCTAGCCTTGGTATATAGGAATGAAAGGCTGAGATATTCAGACTTCCCTGACTAAACAGAATTTCTAGGCCTTTGTATGTTTAAATTTCAAAGGCTCGATGAAAAAAGAAAATCACAACACATCATGTGAAACTTGCTTGTATACCAGGCAGATCGTTCTCCAGTATCTTCCATTCCTCCTGTATTTTCTTGGCCCAATTCTTAGAAGGCTGCAGTAGAATAGATATATCATAAGATAATGAAGCCAAAACTGGTTGAAGTTATTTGAAATTTTTTACTTGGGATAAACTAACCAGGTTCCCTGAAGAAGCCTGTCGAGAATAGAAATGGTCCGAATGATCCTCAACAGTATCAAATTTTTTGAAAACTTGGAATTTCTTCAGAATTTCAGCTAAATTTCTATGTTGCTCTCCATTACAAGCCGATCCTGAAGGAATTGAAGGACATCCTGCAGTTGTTGCCCTTTTATGCAAACTCAGGGGGGAATAGTTTGTCATAGCAGCTGATGCATGAGCAATTCCTGCTGAAATTGGAGTGGTTTGATTAAGAAATAAATTCTTCATATCAGACACTGGAGATCCCACCGGATTTGGAAAATAAGGCCCAATAGGAGTAGATTGGTTGCCCGAACCATAAGAGGTTGTAGCACCGGATGAACCTAATTTCTTTCCATAATGAGATAATGACTCTTCATACAATTTATATGGGTTATTCCAATCAAAAGAGGCTGTAGCACCGGATGAATGGATTTTCTTTCTAATATTGGAAAACTTTTTTTCTGCCCCAGATGAGAGGATCTTTGAATTACTTGCTCCCTTCGAACTCTTCTCATTCGAATTTCCAATGACTAATTGTCCCTCCTTGCCTAAAGCAGGTCCTGGGGATGACCAAGACGACCCAAACGGTGTAGGCTGACCAACGAGAGTAGAGCTGCTAAATGGAGTGGACTGGTCCCTTACTGCCCCAGAGACATCTCTTCCTGAAGTACTTGTAGTGGTTGACACCATTTGTTCTTTCATGGGACCAGGCATCCATGGGATTGGAACCTCAACTCCAGGGGGGATATCCATGTTATCAAAATGTGCTTGTAAAACAGCATAGTCGGAATACACTAAATCATCATAATACATGTCCATGTTCTCATCAGCACCGAATAGTACATCAGAACCAAACTCGTCTATAATAATTGGACTATTAGATACTGAAAGGCAATTCTTCTTCTTTTTTGATGACGAAAGGCATTTCGTATTTGAAGACTGAACCCCATCTACTGGTCCACTATTACCCGAGCTACCATTACCAACCAAAATATCCTGCAAGAGATGTGATTGACAAAATTAGACCTCCAACAAGGGACAGCATAGAAGACGAACAAGAAAAGAACCAGTATTTTGACAAGAGGGCATTGGCAATCTCTGATTACCTTCCCCTTGCCACTAAATTTTACATTTCCACAAGAGTGCTTAACATCACTAAAATCTTCTTCGTCAACATCTATTATTTCATGGAAAATAACCTACAAAGAATACATCAGCACTACTAGTGTCAGGGCCAACAATAATGTTACAAGGAAAGAAAATCAAGTCAAAACAACAATGCTTGTCTTGTCAATAAAACCAAACTTCCAACAGAATCTCCTGCAAATTTGGACTAAAAGGCATACATACACACAATCAATAAACAGAAAAGATGTCAAAAGAGGTTAGCTAATCTGAAGGACTCTAGTCCTTCATCAATTTTCTATTTTCCTGAAGAGGCACTCTCATACATATCAAAAGATTTCTACCGTAGGAAAAATAAACTTCTATTTAGTTGAAAGGAAGAAAATATATCCAGATATATCTAGCTTTTGCTCACATAAAGGAGAGCGAAATCTAGCTGAATGTATTATGTTGCATATGTGTTAAGAGGATTATGGTAATGCCAAACTAATCTATAGACAAGTTCAAATTAACTTTTACAAAGAAAATATTTGAAAAATAGTACAAGAGCATGTTGAGGACAGGGTAAGTAAATGCCTGAACATATTTTTTGGACCAACTCACACTAACTTCAACTAATTTACCGGTACCTACTACCTCCTACTAGAATGAAGCACCAAGGAACGTTTTTTTAATAACTATACTGTCCGGGCCAATTTGCACACACGTCAACCAATTCCGCAAGATACATGTCACCCCTCACCAGCATCAAGTATCGGGTAACTCTATCCACCAAGGCTAGGATAGATGAGAAGAAACCACCTAGTGATTTTGTCTCAATTGGGATTTGAGCCTAAGACATCATAATTCTCAACCCACTTTATTGACCACTAGGCCACACCCTTGGGTGCCAAAGTACCAAGTAACTATGTAAAAGATTTCTATAAATAGGAAGAAATCACTTTGTGTTTCTTCAGATTTTGAAAAATAGATTTCCCCTGGTTCAGTTTTTCTTCATTGACATTTAGTCTTCACCCTTGGATGCAAATGCCTAAGCACTTTACTCTCGTTGTTTTGATAAAATAATAATTTATTGATGTGAGGAAAAACTCCCATATACAAGTGGTACATAAAAAAGTAAGGAGCCCATAAGTCCTTGGATATCTCCCATATTGGTTACAGAATTCTTTTGCTCCAACATCGGTTACTTGTTTTGGTTCCAATAGTATTAAGTTCTGAATAATCCGAATTTCATACGAGGAATACAATCTGTTACACCATCAAATATCCTACTATTCCTTTCTACCTGGAAATCCAATGGTAAATATAACGGATAGTACTCCATACTCAGACGTGTTCACTATGGCACAAACTAGTCTTGAACATTGCTGAAAATAAGTGAGAAAATTAAACATCAATAGGACCATACAAAA